GTAATCCTTTAAGATTGAGTGACATTCATTCTGGAATAAATTCTGATTCTCAATGGTATGATCTTTACTTAGGGGAAATGAACTGGACACTTGGTTGGTATTTCTATCGGAGGGTTGTTTTTGTTTTGTTTTGTTTTGTTTTTTTCCTATTCTCTTAGTCACCAAATTTTATTGATTTTTTGGATTTGTGCATGCATGCTTTTATTCCTTTTACTTTGAGTTATTGCATTCTTTCTGGGAAGATGGCTGAAGCATGTAGAAAGGAGAGTTTATGCCTTTATGGAAATGTAGTTTCCATATGTCAAAATACTAACAGTGGTACTCATTTTATCTTGTGTTATAAAGAACCTGACTGCGTGAGTTTTGCCTAATTTGGAAAACTTTTTAAAAGCATAGCCTTGACTTTCATTCACTCATAGCACTGCATGTTCTATCAAGTAAGGATGATGTAATATGACTTCTGAGTGAAGGCACCAGATTGAAATACTATTTTTTGTGGGTTTTCACTGGTACTTGCCATTTGGTGAAGAGAACATTCTATTTCTTTAAATTAGTGGACTAATAGAGAAAACAATTTTTCCAGAAAATTGTTTTTCCCACTAATTATAATAGTAGAACCTTAAAAATTCTAATCCGAGAGCAGTGATCTTCATCTGCTTTGTTCACTCATATGTCCAATGACTTACTCCATTACTGCCTTTGTAGGTATTTAATATATATTTGTTGAATAAAAGAATCACTAGTATACTTTTTAATTGATAAGTTGAATTTTTTTTATTCTTCCAATGGGCCTTTGATCGGAACCAAATGCATCCTTGTCTGTTGGAGTATTTTTTTTTCTTTATGTTTTCCTTTTCTCTGGAAAGCATAGGAATAAGTTTCTCCAGCTCCTTGATGAAGATGGTTTGTGAGTTGTGCCCATCCCACCCCTACACATTTCAAATATTTGTAGCTATTTGCAATGTAGAAATCTGTATACTTAAGGGTAATGCTGGAAATAACAGAATAATGGAGTTTTGTTTTTCTTTTTAATTTTCTATGGGACTTTAGAGATTGTCTAGTCCAACTCTCTCATTTAAGATGGAGAAAATTAAAGGCCGAAGATTTTTTAGCTCAGGGCCCCTCTGCTAATTAGTGTTACTACAAAACTAGAACCCAGTCCCCTGACTCCCAAATGTTTTTTTTCACACACCTTATAAATAGCCTTTTGAAGGTGAAGACTTTTTCCATTTAAAATATTGATTCACCATCATGACATCTTCAAGCAAATATCTTAATGCCCAAACTATTAAAAAAAAAAAACTTTCTCCCCCAAGTAAAAGAGTATTTCATAGCCAAAAATTCTTTTCAAAAACCTGTTCTTCCCAGGCTATTAATGCAGAGAGTACTAACATGTCTGTCAGTAGATATACTCTATAGTATCAGTAGGCAATCTCTTATATCAATAATTTAAACTTGTTTTCATATCTTGAATTGTATTTGCAAGGAAATTGGCTTCTGAATAGTGGAGTACAAATATTATTACAATATTCTCAGTTGCTAATATGCAAACTCTTTGGGGTTCAGTTGCTGTGTCTCTGTCTCAACAAGCAGGCAAGTGAGGACCAGTGTGTTTAACTAGATAACTTAAGGTAAGGATCAATCTGAATATTAAGAGCTTATGTTATAACAGCACTAATTTGATATCAAAAGTACTCTACCCATAGCAGTCTTTGTATTTTAAGTAAAAATATTAAGAGCTTATGTTATAACAGCACTAATTTGATATCAAAAGTACTCTACCCATAGCAGTCTTTGTATTTTAAGTAAAAGTAGTAGATTTTTATGTCATCTAGCTTTTTTGTCATTTTTGCTTTAAGTGGATTGTTATTGATTAGAATTTATAGATGGTTTTCTTTTTTTTTTCCAAAAACACCTGTAAATTTGAACTTGGAGGAGGAGGGCATGCATAAGAACTAAATTAACTAAAGAGAGAATCTTTTTCTCTCCCAGTCTCATTCTGTAGAGTTTTGTATGTTCCTAGGTACCACATGCACTCCCTGTCCTCAGTAGTCTCTTGATGGGTCCTCACAGTCAGATAGGAGTCTATGACAGTCTCATTAAAAGACACTTTTTCATAGTACCATTGATGAGAGAAATTCCTCTTTTCAGATAGTCCATTAAATTAACACTATAACATCATTTTACATTCGGACCAATATGCAAATCTCAAATGCTCTATTGCAAGTAAGGTACATCTCAATTTTTTCCTCAGTATTTGATAGTTAGTAATATTTTTAACATAATTTCTACCTCGTATTCCATTTCAAAGTGAATTTAATAGACAGGAATCATCAGTAACCTATTTTTATTTCTCCATGTCTCAAAAAGTAAATTGATAAACTTTGGATTCATGAGTATGTCATAAAACATCACTTAGTGAAAGAAAGGCAAACATTCCAAAACCAATGACACAATACTTAATTTCCTAGTTTTTAAAATTAGTCCAGAATTTAAAAGGCAGTTCCATAAATGAAACTGGGTGATTAGAAATATAGCAGACGGTGTGTGAGTATTGGGATAAGCTTCTAGTTGGCAGTATAGTTAACTAACTAATTCAATTTAGAGTAGAGTTTAGAAAGGATTAAAGAGAAACAGCTTTGATCAAATATGTGAAAACTAACATTATTGAAATGTTAAAATTGGAATACCCACTTTGTCACCAGAGATGACAATAATACCTGAATAAACCAGTATTTCTGTCCATTTAAAATAGTATCCTGATTAACATAGAAGATTAGGATGTAAGAATATATGATAATTGTATGATTAACATATAAGAACACAGTAATAAAAAAACTGAATTGCTTGTTTAACTCTAAAGTTCCTCTTGTTGGAAATTATTATTTCCAACAATTACAGTTTCTTGTCAAAATTATCTAAAATAAAATCTTCCAAGAGATATTATAGAAGTAGTCTATACAGCATTAACTTGTTAGGATTTTATTTTTCAGATGCTGCTTTTTAAAATAACCCTGCTTTTATTTTATTTTTTTTCAATATGTGAAGTTTATTGTCAAATTGGTTTCCATACAACACCCAGTGCTCATCCCAAAAGGTGCCCTCCTCAGTACCCATCGCCCACCCTTTACTCCCTCCCACCCCCCATCAACCCTCAGTTTGTCCTCAGTTTTTAAGAGTCTCTTATGCTTTGGCTCTCTTCCACTCTAACCTCTTTTTTTTTTCCTTCCCCTCCCCCATGGGTTTCTGTTAAGTTTCTCAGGATCCACATAAGAGTGAAACCATATGGTATTTGTCTTTCTCTGTATGGCTTATTTCACTTAGCATCACACTCTCCAGTTCCATCCACGTTGCTACAAAGGGCCATATTTCATTCTTTCTCATTGCCACGTAGTACTCCATTGTGTATATAAACCACAATTTCTTTATCCATTCATCAGTTGATGGACATTTAGGCTCTTTCCATAATTTGGCTATTGTTGAGAGTGCTGCTATAAACATTGGGGTACAAGTGCCCCTATGCATCAGTACTCCTGTATCCCTTGGGTAAATTCCTAACAGTGCTATTGCTGGGTCATAGGGTAGGTCTTAAAATAACCCTGCTTTTAAAATGTAGCCAAGAACTGCAGGTTCAGTTTCTAAAATGTTTATAGAAAATACATTATAAATGTGGAATTTAATTATGTAAAATACTAAAGATTTGGCTTGCCCAAGCTTTTGTTAAATTGATCCTTAGTTTATATTACTTCATTCTTAATATATTACTTCATGATATGCAACCATTTAGAATGGATAATTTACTTATGTTACATGAAGTAATAATCTTGAATTTAAATAAATTATATAGTGTGATGTAAGTAGACAAAATTATAGAATTTTTCTATAGAAATGAAATTTTGAATAATTTTAGGAATACACTGAAAAATTTGATACACATAAACTTTGAAAAATTTGGTGCCCATATCTGAGTGATCAAAAATATTCATCCACTCATTGTTGGGATGATATTTTTAGGATATTTTTCAGACATTTTTGAACTGGATGGAGTCAACATATCTTAGCAGGATCTGATTCATCTAACAAGATAAACTGCCTTGAGTTTTAATATAAGACCATTTTTTTCTTTCTTTTAAATACACAGCTCATAATCTGCTAAGCTTAAAATATGCAAATAAATTATTTCAACTTTAAAATTTATAATCTATTTTGAATTATAACAAACACTTGAGAAAGGAGAGGCAAAGCTCTTTTTAACCACAAAGGACATATGGAAAAGAAATTTCTTTACCATTTTAAAAAGCCACCAAAAAAAAAAAGGTAAAAAATTTGGCAACGTTAAAATTATTAAAGGAAATTGATAACCAAACTGGATAATTCAGTCCAAACTATATGTTCAGAACCCAATTTACATAATGATATAGTCAATAAGTCTGTTCCTGAAGTCTTTGCTAAGATTCAGTTGCCTAAATCTCCTAATCTTTTTTTGCCAATTAAATGTCATTATCTTAATAAAATTCACATTAAAAATTTTTTTTTGCTTTAGTCATATTTTTTTAATGTTTATTTCTGAGAGAAAGGTAGAGCGTTAGTGGAGGAGAGGCAGAGAGAGAGGGAGACAGAGGCTTGGAATCAGACTTTGCGCTGAAAGCAGAGAGGGCCTCGTAGGGGCTCGAACTCATAAATCATGAGGTCATGACCTGAGCCGAAATCAAGAGTAGGACACCTAACTGACCAAGCCGCCCAGGAGCCCCAGCTTTACTTATCTTTGGTGTTTTTATATTTTCTTTGGAAAATGTTCTAGATATTCTACAAAATGAAAAAATAGGATGGTAATTTTTCTTAAAAGAGTTTATTCTACTGAAAGCAGCCACATAGGGAAATAAGTTGACTTATGTTTTGTATAATTCTCCAATTCTTTAAAACAGTTTATTTTCAGATCTCTATTTTACATTGTGTCATTTATGTTTTGTTTTACTTATTTATTTGTTTTACTTCAATAGCCTTTTATGTCACCTCGGTACCCTGGAGGTCCAAGGCCCCCATTGAGGATACCTAACCAGGTAAGATTCGTGTGCTGCTTAAGTTTCTGAGTTTTGTTGTTGTTGTTATTGTTATTGTTTTTAAGATTCAATAAAGATCTTAAAAATTTTGTGAATATTTCTTACCTATAAAAACATTAAATTCTTCTTTCTCTATCCCATTTAATGCTACTTCTAGTGACATATAATCTATTTCAAAAATTGACAAACTACTGTCCATATGTTGACTGACTGTTTTTGTAAATAAAGTTTTATTGAAAAATAGCCATGCTCTTTCATTCATGTATTGTCTGTGACTTCCTTTACACTGCAGTAACAGATTTTTGAGCGGTCAGATATTTACTATCTGGATCTTTACAGAAGAAAAGTTTGTTGAACCTTGGAGTCTACTCTATACCCTGAACTTAATTGTATATGTGTGTGTGTGTGTGTGTGTGTGTGTGTGTGTGTGTGTGTGTGTAATTTTGGTAAATGCTAAATACTTTTATTTAAAGATGGTAATAAAATTTTCTATAGAATGAACATACTTTGGTTTATTTTTGTATAATATGCTCTCAACATCATGGTTGCAATACATCAGTTTTGCCCAAATATAGTGATATCTCGGGTATATAAATACCTGCTTGTGGAAGGGTTAGATCTATTAATAAATAAATTGTTAGCAATAGATCTTCCAACTTTTTTTACCTACTAGAGCTCTGCGATTTCATAAGCTTTTATCCTTACATATTTCTTTTATCAATACCATAAATACTTATTTGCTAAAGAGAATAATGCACAGGTTTTACTTGAAAGGAGTTTATAGTTTAGTTTCAGGATACAGAACGTGTGCATTTACATAACACAAGAAGAAATTAAATGCCTAATTTTATGAAATAGTTATGTCAAGATAATTGTTTTGTTACTTTCTTTAATTCTGTTATTGTATACCTCAGCATTTTCCGCATTCTAAAGTAAACCCTGTTATTCCACAAAATTCTTTTTCATTCTTACTCTCTTTCTGTCTCCACTTCCTTTCTGACCAAAAATACAACAAAGTTGTGCTTACTAACATATTTCATAGCAACAGAGTTCTGCTTCTCCTCTGCTAACTCTTACTGAAATTATGCTGTGTCCTTGAAGTGTCCCAGTTTGCTGTTTTTTTTTCTGCTTTTAGTGCACAGCAAGGAGTGCCAGCACCCACATCCACCCCCAAGGGAGAACTTGAAGCAGGCAGTGGTGCTGGATGATCTCATGGTTATAGTGCTGGGAGGCCTCACATTAGCAGCTGGAGGAGTTTTTTCCTTCAGACTGAATCTGCATTCAGTACATAGGGCCAGGGAAACACGGCATGAAATAGGAAAAGGAAGTGCACAGATGCCAAGTGTTCTAACATATGGAGATTTTATTTTCTCTGTGGGTGAACCTATGTATATTGACAGTCAAATCCCCTTATATAGGTGCCCGAATCTTTTAAATTTCCTTCTAAAAGATGGAAAGTTGTATCTTTCATTGGGGTCTTCATAATGTTTCAGACATCCCATCCATAGCTTTGTATGTTATATAGATCTAAGAGGTTCCTGAAAATGTGAATTAGGGAAACGTGAATTTCTTGTACCAAGTATGTTATCAGAAATTTTGACTTCATATATTCTGTATCAATGAAGAAATTCTTAAGGGATTATTGCTTTCGCATCCATTTGACATTGTTGAAATGCCTGCCATGTCTAACATACAATGCTAGGTTCCATATGTACAGAGACTTATATAATGAAAAACATACTTTGTAAAAGAGGAATAAGTTATGGAATTGTAAACCTAGACTGAATTTGTTTTTACGAACAAGTATAGGTTGCTTTTGGATTTATAAAAATGTTTTAAAAACTTAAAGATAATAAAGAATTATCATACAGGCTCTTTTTCCTCAAGAATCTTAAAGTCTTTACCTAAGTGTTTTTTAAAATAATTGTACTCATATCTGAGTGGCTCTTTTTTGTCTACTCACCACCCCCCACATTTATATAGTTAAACTTTATTAATTCAAACATCTATCTTTCAAATTTATAATTTTATATTTATACTATTTTAAAAAGAATTTTCTGATCAAATTAATTGTGTTAATAGTGTAAACATAATGTTTTACAAAATGTTGAACCTAGTTAGGAGCATGACCTTTCCAAGCAACAGAATGTTTCTTCAATTTCTTTACATAGTCACTAACGTAGAATCAGAAAAACTATATTTGGTGATTAATTGGAATGTTGCATATAAAAACAACACAAATATGTTTTTTATTTCATCTTCATTTAAAATGATCATAAACTAATTAAAATTTGTTTTATTGATAGATTATATCTAAGAAAATAAAAAGTGAAATACTCTTCAATGGTGTTGGCTAGTCATTTTGAATATGTAAAAGATATTCCTTTAATAAACAGATTCTTCAGAATTTATAACTACTAATGATTAGACTGTAGATTTTTTTTAAGATTTTATTTTTAAGCAATCTCTACACCTAACACAGGCCTCAAACCCACAAGCCCAAGATCAAGAGTCACACACCCCACCAAATGAGCCAGCCAGGTGCCTCTAGACTGTAGATTTTCACTTGAATTCTCCTGAGATGGTTTTAATGGTTCTCAAGTAACTTGACAACGGTTTATACTGTATATATATTTATAGTACAGGGTATTTGGAACTTGTTATAATATCACTCTGCCAAAGGAAAAAAAATATATAAGAAGGGGTAATGGTCTCTAAAATGATGGAAGAAAAGTGGGGCACCTGGTGGCTCAGTTGGTTAAGTGTCTAACTCTTGGTTTTGGCTCATGTCATGATCTTGCGGTTCATGAGTTCCAGCCCCTCATTACACTCTGCACTGGCAGTGTGGACCCTGCTTGGTATTCTGTCTCTTTTCCTCTCTAGCTGCCTCTCCCCTGCTCACTCTCTGGCTCTCTCAAACAAATAAACTTTAAGAAAAATTTTTTAAATAATAATAATAAAATGATGGTAGAAAAGTAAAATGATAAGCATATGCAATGTTGTAAAGAATAAATACATATTAAAACATATGAAACATAGAAATTAAGTCCAAAAAGTATATTTGACTATACAGTTTTACATTGGAATTGGTTCAGCCATCAGAAGAGATCATTGGTGTTGAAGCATCTGTAACCTGGAATAGAACAAGTCTTTATCCCTCTCTTAGGTAAAACGTTTACCAAAAAAATTCATAATGTTTATTGAACACTGTGCTGAGGGAACCAAGGCAGCCAGAATACAGAGACTGTTAATGAGTGATACCAAGCATAAACTATTGATTTATTGATCCTATAGAATTTTGAGTTTATACTCTATTTTTGACCATTCCTGAAACTCTGTAAACAGGTATGTGACATAGTTAATGCTGTTGACCATTTTATATTCCAAAGCTGATTTGGTATTCTAAAAACACAGTGCCTCTGACTATTCTATTGAAAGTCTCAAAGGTATTTCTCCATTAGCAGATGAATAGTTAAATTATGGTATATCCAAATGGTGAAATAATATGCAGCTATTAAAAAGCATATTATAGAATTACACTTATTGATATGATAAAATGTTAATGATCTATTACCAACTGTAAAGAAGGCATAAAGGTCATGTAGTATATCACCTTTTCTTTATCACTATACAAACTCAGTTTCCCCCACTCATCATACACATACACACACACACACACACACACACACACACACACACACACACACACATTTGTCAAAGATTATCAAGATATGTCCTTTATTTCTGGATAGTAGAATTATGAGTGCTTTCTTTGTTTATTTCTGCATATTTTTATTTAAAAAAAATTTTTAATATTTATTTATTTTTGAGAGAGACAGACAGAGAGTGAGCGGGGAAGGGGCAAAGGGAGACAGACAGAAACTAAAGCAGGTTCCAGGCTCTGAGCTGTCCACACAGAGCCCAACATGGGAGCTGAACTCACAGACTGCAAGATCATGACCTGAGCTGAAGTCAGATGCTTAACTGACTGAGCCACCCAGGTGCCCCTATTTCTTCATTTTTAAAGTTTGCATTGAAAAAGTATTTCATTTGTGATTAGAAGATATTACTAGTTAATTTTGTACATAGATAAAAGTATAGATGTTTTATTCTTTTAGTTATTCAATATATAAGATTATTCTCCATTAACATTGAATATATAGTTCTTACATGATGAAAAGAAAAACATAATATATGCTAAGGATAGGCAAATCTTTAAAAAAAAGACTTTTCTTCATCACTTTTCATAGAGAAACTATCAACAGGCATTTGAACAGAAAAAAATTGTTGGGATGTTTTCTCAGATACTGAAAATAAATTTTACATTTCCTGTATAACAAGGTATCTATATTTTAAAATGCACTTTGTGTTCTATTTTCAGCATAAATGCCATTTAGCATGGCTTTTCCCAATAGTTTTGTCTTGGTAAAATTTTCCATATACAAAATCCTACTTTTGTTTAATGATATCAGTGTAAGAACATAAGAAAGACCTCAGCTGCACAAGGCAAAGTATGTTCTACCTTGAGTAAATAATAGTAGTCTTCTAGCTGCAATTGTAAGGATGACCATAGTAAATCTTTAGCTATAAAAATTAAATGTTGCACCTGTCTAATATAAATACTTAATAAAGTATAGTTTTTTTGGCCAGTTCAAAATATTCCTTTCTGTCATTGAGATCTTATTTCTTTGTTGTTACGATAATTACACTATTAATGTATTTAAATTATTATTTGAAATCCATTGAAACACATTTAAAAACCTGTTTTCCTTATAACTTTGAATTATGAGTGTATCCTGAGATATATACCCTTTCCAATTCCTACCTTTGTAAGACACAGGAAATTAACAAATTCAAAATGTCTGGAACAAAATAAACTTCTTTCTCCTTCCCAAACCAAGAAAACTTTACATAGCAAATGCTGTGCAGTCTTACTCAATTTAAGTTACAGGTATATAGAGCTTTTTGGTATAATAATTACTTCTTTTGCCAAAACATCT